AGTATTTAAGACTTTCACATTGAAGCTGTGAAAGTGAATGACTGACTAAATGAATGAATATAAAGTGAGCAAGTAAATGAAATTTATGAAGACCAAGAAGCCATTCTCTGGCAATGGAGCACTTGGATAGGATGCACTATAAAATCAGTTCCCTCCCGCTTCCTCATGTCCATCTCTCTCAAATAGCAGGGCTCAAACCAGAAGCCAAGAGCAAAAGCTGGCAAAGCCAGCAGGCATTCCCAACTGTGCACCAGCCATTTTGGTGCAGCTAGAGTCATTATGGAAGATTTTAACAATGCATAACCTTTCTGCTTCACTCTGCTAACAGCAGGCGGTGTGCCTTTCAGAACTGAGGCTGCTTTGAAGTCGCCAGCGAGCAGGACCTGACCTTCATTTCCAGTATGTGCAGCATTAAATATTCATAATCCACGTAACTGAAGCATAAGAAGGAGCAGCATTTAAGCATGAATCAAAGGAATAAATATCTCCCCACATGTGAGTCATCCTTTCCCAGAATGCCACTGGGAAATGTTAATGCTCAGAGCATGGAGAGCTGCTGTTTCCTCCAACTTTCCCTTAAAATTATGGGAGAAATAGGGACTGCTGCTTCATGCCATGCATGGGTCCTTCCCCTCATGATGATATTATGAGGTTTCCCTGCCCTTTATCTACTCCATAAGTATTACTGGTCTGGTGACAAGGGGAGGGGTAGAGCAAGCAACAGTCACATTGACACTTAGGGCAGTGAGGGGGTACAACTGACTTGACTGTACAATTTAAAAGTCATTTAGTGTGTGTACATATGCTTGTGGGTCTATGACATGTGTGTAAATATGGACATATATGTGCCACAGTACAGTGTTTGTGGGTCAAAAAACCTCTCATGAGCATGTTGTCACCTTCCATTATGCTGAGGCAGAGTTTCTTTCGTGTCCGATGCTGTGCTTTATACTCCAGGCCAATTGGCCCATGTGCTTCTAAAGGGTTCTCTTGTCTCCACCTCTCACGCCACCACAGGAGTGCTAGTTTTACAGAACCACATCACTAAATCCATCTTATTAATGTGGGGCCCAAGGATCAAATTTCAGTTGTCAGGCTAATGCCGTGGCTGCCTTTACCTGTTAGACATCTCTCTGGCCCCTGGTCATACATTTTTAAAAGTGTTTGCTTTATAGAAATCAGGGTGCTTAGGAGAAAGAATACCTGGGAGAGGTCAGAGTAGGAGGTGGGGAATTTGGAGAACATGGATCTTTGAAGGATGGGATTGCAGATTTCATGAAGACATCAATATTATGTCCATGCCAACCAAGTCTTGCTATAACCCCCCTTTGTTTGAATCTTCCCAGTGTCTTCCATTAGGATGATGGAGCAACATTTGAACCATCTTTAACATGATTCTCCTTATCTGTTGGCTTCAAGACAGTGTATCTTAGCTAGACAGCAGTCACTGAAAATAACCCACATAGAGATCACGTGAGGAAAATGAACACATCCCTGAAAAAGACCCACTTGGGGATCTGCCTGTCTTGGACTAAGGACCAAAATTTGAGTGAAGATGTGTAGAAATACTGTAGTCAGGTAAATTTGAAAGGCGAGGAAGAGTGTCAATTGCCATACAATTACGCCCACCAATGACAGTGTTAACCTTGACTGAGCTGCCTTTCCGCTGACTTGTTGAGGCAGAATAAGCACCCACTTTGCTTGCCCAGGTGCACAGTCTAACTCAGCCCCTCTGAGAGCAGCTGACTGAGTCCTCTCTGTGTGTGTGACGTATGCACACATGGCACACGTGCAAGCAGAAATCAGAAGAGAATGTCAGGTGCCCTGCCTTCTCACCTTCCAACTTACTCCTTTAAAGTAGGGTCTCTCGCCAAGCCCAGGGCTAAGACGGTAACTGAGCAAGTCCCAGTGATCCTCCTGTGTCCATCTCCCAAATCTCTAGAGACAAAACGCAGAGGACCATGCCTAGCTCTTCAGGAATGTTTTGATGGCATGAGCTCAGGTCTTCATGCTTGCTCAGTAGATGCTCTTACACACTGGGTCATCATTCCAACCCCTCTTTGCACTTCCCAAAAGGCCAAGGGAGAAGACCTTTGCATCTTGAGTTTCTGTATCTGGAAGATTTCTAATCTACCAAGTGGGTGACGACAATTCTAGCTAAGTGTAATGAGAGACACCATCTCAGTCAGAGAGCACTACCCTTTGTTTATTTATTTGCAGAGGGTTAACACTAGTACAAATTCACACCAAGACTACCAGGTATTTTTCCTCAGGGCAATGAATTGGTATAATTTTTAAGAGAAATTTAAGTCGCTTCCCAAGATGGTCAGCCAAGCCATTTGTTTTAAGTCAGTGGTTGCTTTGAATGAAAAGGACAGACTTCAAGAATTTGCCTTCTGCTTTCTCATGCTCATTCCATTTGTAGTTTCAGTGTAGACAGAGTCTCATCTCCTTCACTAAACTTGATTAGAATTTGATTAATAGACTGTATTTGGTGTTCTGACTATGACTCTCTAGACCAGAGGTTAATACAGCTCCTCATATTGTGGTGACCCCAACCATAACATTTTCATTGCTACCTCATAACTAATTTTACCACTGCTATGAATTGTAATGTAAATATATGATATGCAGACAGTCTTAGGTGACCCTTGTAAAAGGGTTGTTTGACCCCAAAGGGGTCGTGACCTCCAGAGGTTGAGAACTATGTTTCTAGACTTCTCATAAAAGTAACATCATAGATTTTACTTTAATTCATCTCCTTAAACTGAGCATGCCTGGTGAATCTCCCTGGAGAGATTGATTCTCTGTGTTGGCTGCTTATTATCTTATCCACAAGTTGGAGTCTTAGGCTATGGTCTCAGGGTCAGATGAAGAGGTACAATTGAAAAGTAGAGTTGCATATGTAGTAACAGGTGCTCTGCTAAAATAAGTCTGTATAACAAACCACACAGTTTGCTCAGTTTAAGAAGAAAGGCTGACACCGTGCTAAGACTTGGCCAGTCCCCATGGAGAAGAAGACAACCTCATATCTAAGATTACTGGCATTTTTGCTTGAGAAGGTGAAAAACAGAACTGAAAGTGAAAGTCAGTCTTGGTACAGACTCTGCGCATGACCATAAAAGAACCGGAATCACTCAGGGTTTCTAGCATCGGCTTCAGCAAGGCTTAACAGAGTCAAGACTAACCCCAAAGGAGTGGAGGCTGGTGAGGCATCAGTGAAAACTGACAACTTAGGAGAACAGCATGCTTCGCCATCTACTCCCAAGGAAGACCGGACTCTATAGAGCCTAAGATTGCCTCCTAGTAGACACAATTAAAAAGACGCCATTCAAATCCACTTACCAACAACATTTTATTTCCAAAACATACAAAGGGACAGAGTGGGGGGCAAGGAAAGGGAGGCATGGCCGAGGCATCTGTCCTTTTAGCCGATTCCACACTCCCCACCACACAAGTGTGTGCTCTCTCTGGGGCACACAGACTACATGTCTGAACCTCTTTCCTAAGCCCCATAATGGGTATTGGCGGGGAATGTGCCCCATGACTCCTGGAGAGGGATTGGAGAGAGATGACCAAAGGCTTGAGAGTTTCAGTTCACCTCAAATGTGGTCCAGAATATCTGAGTAAATACGAAAAGTCATCATACTTTCACACACAAGACAACTGGAGTCTTCCAGACTGAATTATGCTCTTCCTTTTCTCGACTGGGGATTTCAGATGAAGAAAACATGCACCATCTTGTCCCCTGGAGATGTCTAGAGGACCTATGGCTCAAGATAGGTGAGGGTACAGCCTTGAGTGTGATGTGGGCTAAATGATTTTTGAAGGCCTCATGCTTGGCAGATCTCAGACATGAATGAGTAGATGTGTTTCTTCTATTTTCCTCGATGTGGCAGTTTGGCCTCCAGAACCAAATGTACAAAATCCCCTGGCTGGTGATCAGATAGATCTGGATAAATCGGTAATGAGATGTGCATGGCATTGCCATCATACATTAAGTTCAGAATTGAGGCATAACAGTCCGATCAAACAGGAACACAAGGCAGGTGCCCTAGGATGGAAGTGTAGCATCCACCCAGGATTTGTATTAGAGGAATGAGCCACACTCTCAAAGTGATAACAAGAACAGCAAGTTTGAGGGTGCTTCTCCTTGGCTAGAGCTATCAAGTTTGTGTCCCAACAGAAAAGAAAATCCACCCAAGAGCATTGTGCTTCAGATGCTGTCAGTGTTGAGATTGCAGCAGGAAAGCGGGAACAAGTGATGTAACCAATAATGGTACCCACTGCGTTTAAGGATAGCCATGGTGACTGGTCTCTTCAGCTTCCCAGAAGGTCTTCACCGTATTTGAACCATGCTTACTGGAGCACCAGATCACTACACTGTCAAAGTGTCTGCATGAGCACTGTTCTCTGCAAGTTCTCAAACAGCCATAGGCCTCTATCTCTGGGAGTCCTCGTGAACAGCCTCATTCCATTTTCTTACTTCCATACGTGAAGAAACACAGTGACCTTTGCTTCAGCTACATATCTCTTTAGCAGGTGAAATCCTAGCCCAGGGCTTTCTAATCTATCACTCAATATGGCTTAAACCTGGATGATAAAACGATCCTATGTCTGTGGCCAGAATGGCTCAAACACATCTCTTGGACTCTTGTCACCCCCTCCCAGAGGTTCCAAATTCCCATTAAAACCTTCTTAACTTCTTGGCATCTTCAGTACAAATACTCCATCAGGAAATAGCACATTACAAATAAATACCCAACAAGAAGGCTTGGTTCCCAAGTGCCTTTCCCTCCCATTCCAGCAGAATCAACACAACCTTCTGAGAGAAGCTTTTCCATTCAGAAATGCAGCACAGAGCATCCCTGCATCCCTCCAAGCCTTCGGCACTTGGATGAGATTCTTGAAAAGGCTAGTGGTAAGTTACATGAGTACATCAATGTAAAGGGTCACAGTTGCCCTAGAAAAATGGCAAGACAACACGCATGCATACTCACTTTGACGAGTCTATGAAGTATATTACAAGGGCACCAATGCTGAGGGCAAAGACTAACACAACCTGCAAAAGAAGGTAAACATTCCATTACTTAAGGGCTGGGACCAGAGTGTTTGCATTTCTCATCAGCGGCAACAGCTGATTGAAGCACAGCGCCCACTACCTCCAGGGACCCGCTTCCGTATCTCCTGCGCTCACTACCCTGTGACAATACAGATGATGTCTCTTCACCCATCAGTAGAAGCAACCTTGCCAATAGGGGTCAGGGCATACTTTTCCATTCTATGCCCTGGATTTTTTTTCAATCTGGCCTGTTACCTCAAGGACCAGCTTCTCTACAGTTGAAGTTAATAAATTTCAAGGGAAAGAGTGAGTACAAGGACTTGGGAGGATGTAGTTTTTCATCTTCTACCTACCCTGGGACTGAAAGGGAGTGGTTGTTTCTAATGGCTTTGCTTAGCTATAAAATACATCCATTTTGACCATATAATTCCTCAATGACTTTTGGGAAGTTTATCAACCTATGCGACACCATTGTGATCCAGTTTCAGAACATTTTCATCATCTCAATGAGATCTTTCTTGCTTGTGAAATTAATAATCCCTGTTCTCTCCTCTAGTCCCAGACAGTCACTAACTTGCCTTCTGTCTCTATGTAAGAAATAACCATTGGCAAATTACACATTTGCTAGTACAAATGTCCAGAGACAGACGGACAGAGAGAGAGAGAGAGAGAGAGAGAGAGAGAGAGAGAGAGAGAGAGTAGTTATGTGCTATGTTTATAAGATTTCTCAACTATTTAGGAAAACCACTTAAGTGAAAAAAAGTCGATTAGGTCAAACATCTGATCAGTTAGTTATATAACAATCTCTAAGCTGTTTTGCACTCACTCAAAATCAATCATCATGAATATGAAAGACAGCTTTGGCATCTCCTCCAATGTGCACCTGTCACATAAAAGTCCACTGAATGGACATGTAGCATTTTAGACTGCTACTGACACTTCTGTCCTTCACCCAGTGTTCTAATGTGTTTATTTAATCTCAAACAGAGGAGACAATTACTGAAAATAAAAGATGCTCCCAGTAAAACAGACCCTAACAGCCAACAATTAAGGCTGAGATCAGAAATGAAACATCACCACACACAATGCCTGCCTGATGCTCAACCCCTGCCTTTTAGAGGTACTCAATCCTAAAGAGACAGCAGAGAAGAGCCTGGGAAATGCCAGTCTCCCCAAGATCCATATGCAAAAATCTGGCTGGCATGAGATGATGGACAGAAATTAACTCCAACCTATGCAAGGACCAGGCATGATCAGGCTGTGGAGTGTATGGGAATCACACACCCCTGTGTTTTTCTGTATATGCTAAAAACAATGCGATGTGCATGTAATACTCATTTAAAACACTACAAAAAAACCCAGTGCATCCACAGGAGAGAGATAGCCAGCTGGCCACACAGTGTGGAAAATAGCTGGGCATGATACAAGGAACACATAGCGTTCTCAACAGCTGCTGGCATTTATTTCTGAAGAGAAGTGGTTAAAGTACTACACAACTAGGATTTATTTCCCTCTCCCATTTCACTTCTTGAATCAAAACTCCCATGGCATGTAAGGCAGCTCCCATAGCCTATCTGCAACCACCAACTACCAATGGACTGGCCTGCCTCTCCTTCACCTCTTCACATGGGTTTATTCGCAGCTTGTTTGCAAAGGTATACAGCAAACAAACACATAAGCATGCCTCTGCTTTTCGTCCCACAACAAATAGCATTGGATTAATTTGGAGCTGCACTGCTATTTCTAAGCCAGAAGCAGTTAGATCCTGACCCTGACCTCGTTCTCAAAAAGCTGCAAAGGGAAGGGACATGGTCCTAACATAAGGGAGGGAACTCTCCATTCATAAACAGCAGATTGGGCACAGACCCCTCTTCATTTAGCCCCACGTGTGTGAATGCTGAGCTTTATCAGGGATCACTAGACAGTCCTGTGCCACCAAATGCTATGTATTGTGTAAGGAAAATCAAAGTTCTTGCAGATAGCGCTTCATTCTGTGAGAAGTTAGACTCAGCACTCTGTGAAAGCATGCTTTCCCAGCAGCAGGATGGCCAAAGTAACTGACACTAATTTGTCCCAGCAGCCTCCACTTGTGAATAATGTGTCACTTATTTAAGCAAATCAGTGAATGACAGGAGTTTGGAATACATCCTGCTGTCCTCTTGAAACTCAAACAGGATAGGAGGTAGTGGTGTATGCCTTTAATCACAGTACTTGGGAGCCAGAGGGTAAGGACAAAAGGAAGATGGGTGGAATACGACCCTCCACAGCACCACTACTGCACACAGGCTTGGATCCTGTGTCCGACTGGAAGGCTTTCTCTCAGGGAGATTGGGGAATCCAGACTGTCCTGCCCACCAGGAGCCGCTATCACCTGCCTGCATGCCAAAAATAAAATAACAGTGCTTCTCAGCAGGAAGGTCAACTGTGCATGTAAGCTTTAAACTTACCAATGTGTCTTGTTATTGTGTTGGGCTCCATTACACTGTCAGCCTAGACTCAGGTCATGCAGAAATGAGAGCCTCAGAGACGGGTTACATGGCTCTCTCCAAGCCTCCTGAGCTGAAGGCACAGCTTGCCCTCTTCCTCCAGCTTTCTAACCAACAACCACATTGTTTTCTTTTTTTCTTTAAGGGAAAAAATGACCCATGGGTAAAAGACACTTGCCAAGGAGCAAGTCTAGAAAACCCACCTAAGGTAGACAAAGGAACCCATTCCATAAAGCTCTCCTCTAACTTCTAAGTCTATGCTGTGGTGTGTATGCCCATACACACACATCATGCACAGACACAGAATGATATACAAGCCCTATGGGATTACATAACTAGTAGTCAATTGTCCATGGGAGGTACAAAGTGTGTAGGCTAAATCTACAAAAGGAAGATCATCAATCAAGAGACAGAGGAGTCAGAGGAGAGTAGGGGCATTATGGGTTCTTGTCTTGGTACCTCTTTGTTCTCTAAGTACAGTTCTTCATACAAGTTACAGCTGCTCATGTATTGCTCCAGGATAGCACGGAGCCACTGCGGCCCCTTCTGCATGTTTCTTTAGCCCTGATGATAAGGAGGATGGAAGTCCATGGGCTAGGGAAATATGGCACTAAACAAATCACAACACCCTTCCTCTCAGACAGCAAAATGCATGTGCTCTCCAGCAGCTAGGTCATAGAACAACCTTTACAATGACCAGCCTTTCCCATACAAGGCCCTATATGTGGTCAGTAGTATGATCTAAGAGATCCTTTGCTCTTTGCCTGGCATGACACATGTTCTGCTAGCTGTGAAGAGAGTCTGTATAGCTGGTCTAACTCCTTATGGGCAGTACTCACTTCACCACCTTGGCTGTCTTGGACAGTACTCATTGTCCCTCTCTCAGACTAACTGCAAACACCCATATAAACTGCCTTCAGTGTAAAGCACTCATGCCTGGCTTAGATCCACCAGGACACTGGAGGCAAGATGAGAGTCTGGCCCCTCTGCTTCTGTTTTGTGTACATGCTTTGGCTGAATGTACAGAGGTAAATTATTTGTCTTCAACCTTTTGTCTTCTAGTCACCTCAAATTCCAGGCGAAGATAGTGCCTTCAAGACAGACCAACCCCCAGATATGGACAATTAGCCATGAGGATGTAGCTGAGTTCTAGAACATAGATAATCATCTTGCTGAAACCAGACAGGTCCCAAAGTCAGAGTACAGACAAGGACTAACAGATCAGTATCTCAGACTACTCTGCAGGTCTACCTTACAGGACAGGAGCTGAGACAAAGATGGAGCAGTGATAGGCAAGAACATCTGGCCAGGACGGTTTTGTCATGCATGTTCCCTGCCCTCTATTTAATCCTAAACCTCACTTTAGCATCATTAAGACAGACACGAGGTCAACTGGACCATTTTATCATGTCTCTTTCCAGTGTGGCCACATTGAGTAAATTTCCTTCCTCTGCTCTTCAGTATTACTTGTGACTTTAACTGGAAAAGGATGACTGAGCTTGCCTTCTTGGGGCTTCTAGAGTCCAGATTTATACCATTAAAAAATTCCAGTTATAATACCAAACACTGATTCTATTTCCATAATGCAAACAAGAAAGAAAGGAAGAAAGAAAGAGAGAGAGAGAGAAAGAGGGAAAAAGAAAGCAACAATGTTGATAAGCAACATTGAGACAATGGAATATTAGTCATCTATTTTCAGAACCCAAAATGTTTGCACCTAAATGTTTGCACCAAAGAATGCCAGGAACACACAGTATGTTAAAACAACACACACACACACACACACACACACACACACACACACACACACACACACACACACACACACAGTCTATCCTCTTTATCACGAGGAACCTAGACAAGAACTGAGGTGAAAGCAAGAAAGATTCTCAGCCATCTTCCTGAGTGGAAACCTCAGCAGGCCATGAATATCATCCAAGTGCCTGAGCCAGGGAGGGGTATCATAAAAATGAAAAACAGTATAGCCAAGCACAGCACTTTCCCCTCAGTTACTGAAGCTCCTGGGGAAAGCCAAATTCAGTGACATTTCTGCAGGCTCATTGGCATGGAGGGAGAGCCAGAAAGCTAGAGAGTGAAAACTGTACATTAGCATATGAAAAGAACAAATTGGCAAAGAGGAAGGTTGGGAGAAAACTTGGCCAGCGAACAGGTGCAAAGGTAAGGTACTCCAGTGGTCTGAAGATGACCCATAGATCATTTCTATATTAAACAGCTCAGTCTTGGGTGGAGACTTAAGATGCTAATGAGACATTAGATACACGAGGCTCTATGTAGAACTACCCTTGACAGAGCTTATACAGAAAAGCCAACATGCAAATGATCACAAATGCCTGCATTGTGGGATATAAAAAAGCTCAAATTCTTTACACAGCATGGCTGCTTATGTTATGAACTCTCTTTGATCTAGTCCACTTGCTCCCTTGAAGTGGATTCTTCCTTACTTTCTTTTTTTGTTTGTTTTGTTTTAGGTTTTTTTGTTTTGTTTTGTTTTTC